GGCAACCTTACGGAGATGGGTTTCCCTCTCTGAGCCTCAGTTTCCTCATCTGTAAAATAGGGATAAGGTCATCACAATGACGCCTATGGAAGACGTAACACAAGCCAGGCCCGGGGGAGGTGTGAGCCCCGCTCTTCACTCCTCCCCTCAAATCATGGCTGAGAAAGGAATGTCAATTCTAAGAAGAGAGTGCTTTCCAAGAAGCTAGGAACGAGAGGGAGAGCAGAGATCTGGGATCTGGGGGCTGGAGAAGGAGATGATACCAATTCTACACAGATTCTCTCAGAAGGGTAGAAGAGGCCAGCATGCCTCTGGTAACCAAATCAAGAAACAGACACCAGCATCCCTCATGGACATTGATGCCAGAATCCAGAACACATTCTTTGTCCAATCCAACCCAGCCATATTTAGAAGGGAAATGCCCCAGGGTGTGCCAGGGTGTGTCTCAGGTATGCAGAAGCGGCTACCATTCAAAAATCATTTATAGGCCGAGCTCGGTGGCTCAAGCCTGTAATCCCAGCACTTTGGGAAGCCGAGACGGGCGGATCACGAGGTCAGGAGATCAAGACCATCCTGGCTAACACGGTGAAACCCCGTCTCTACTAAAAAAAATACAAAAAACTAGCTGGGCATGGTGGCGGGCGCCTGTAGTCCCAGCTACTCGGGAGGCTGAGGCAGGAGAATGGCGTAAACCCGGGAGGTGGAGCTTGCAGTGAGCTGAGATCTGGCCACTGCACTCTAGCTTGGGCGACAGAGTGAGACTCCGTTTCAAAAAAAAAAAAAAAAAAAAGTATAATTCACCATAAAAAATGGAATGGGCATGTCAATCACCAGGCACGGTGGCTCACGTCTGCAGTCCTAGCACTATGGGAGGCCAAGGCAGGAAGACTGCTTGAGGCTAGACCAGCCTGGGCAACATAGTGAGACCCCATCTCTACAAAAATAAAAATAGGCTGGGTGTGGTGGCTCATGCCTGTAATCCCAACACTTTGGGAGGCTGAGGCAGGCAGATTACCTGAAGTCAGGAGTTCCAGACCAGCCTGGTCAACATGGCAAAACCTCTTCTCTACTAAAAATACAAAAAAAATTAGCTGGGCATCATGGTGCATGCTTGTAGTCGCATCTACTCGGGAGGCTGAGGTATGAGAATCTATTGAACCTGGATGGCAGAGGTTGCAGTGAGCTATTGCACCACTGCACTCCAGCCTGGGTGACAGAGTAAGACTCTAGCTCCATTTGAAAAAAAGTAAAAAAAGAAAAAGAAAAATATTAGCCGGTGTGGTGGTGTACACCTGTAGCTACGTGGGAGGCTGAGGCGGGAGGATCGTTTAAGCCCAGGAGTTTGAGACTGCAGTGAGATGTGATCATGCCCTTGGACTGCAGTCTGCAGAGTGAGACCCCAACTCTTCTTCTTCTTCTTCTTTTTTTTTCTCAGGTGGCATCTTGCTCTGTCACCCAGGCTGGAGTGCAGTGGCTCAATCTCAGCTCACTTCAACCTCTGCCTCCTGTTTCAAGCAATTCTCGTGCCTCAGCCTCCCAAGTAGCTGGGACTACAGGCATGCGCCTCCATGCCTGGCTAATTTTTGTATTTTTAGTAGAGATGGGGTTTCTCCATGTTGGCCAGCCTGGTCTCGAACTCCTGACCTTAGGTAATCCGCCTGCCTTGGACTCCCAAAGTGCTGGGATTACAGGCGTGAGCCCCTGTGCCTGGCCAAGAGACCTCAACTCTTGAAAAGAAAGAAAAAAAAGGAGCAGTTATTGGCTTTACTCAGCAAAGTGCATTCCCCATGCTGGAGCAGGTACACACCGTCTCTCTTGTTCCATGGTGGGAACTGGAAGCTGTCAACCAATGCACAGCCCCGTCGATCTCCCCACCCAGGCTCTGTCCAGCAACAAGGCAGGGTGGCAAGTCCTGAAGGAGTCACGGCCTCCTCCCTGTTTTCTCAGGCTCTGCTCTTGCAGGTGCCCCCAGAGGAGTCATCCGGGACCTGAGGGTGGCAGCTCTTCCCACGGCCCTTGGGTCTTCATGGAAAGGGGCTGCAGAACGTTGGTTCTAGAGACACGTCGGTGTCTGAGAGTGATGAAGTCCGGGGAAAGTCTTGGAAGAATCCGAGCCCGGGTCTGCCTTGTGCTAATGGCCATGTCAGCACAGCGTGTCCCAGTTCCTTCCTTGCCACCAGGGACAACAACGCCAGGAGCCCTGCGACCAACACTGAGCATGACCAGCGATGTGTCAGGTTCGCAGGTGGAGGGCACCCTGAGTCACACATCAACCCCCCGGGGCCCCTGTCATCCCCGTGTGACAGACAACGGCACCAACGCTCTGGGACGGGACATCAGCACCACCAGGAAGTGCTGGCATTGTCCTGAGTCAGTACCGGCTGCCGCTGCCATCACACAGGATATGGTTCCCAGGCAGCACGCCGACTGCCTTCCAGGAGCATCTCCCCTTCACGGTGTGCCAGGCGCTCTTGGGGCTCCACTGCCCCCTCCAAGCTTTAGAGGGCTTGCCCAGAGCCCTCCATCCTTCAGAAACCCCTCCTGATCCTAAGGACTCCAGAGACCACCCAGCCACCTCCTGCAGAGCCAGAAACCCTGGGGATCTATGTCCCTGCTGGGGATACGGGCTCTGGACGGCAGAAGCTGTCCCCAGCCCACACCTGGAGCTGGATCTGCCGTGGATGACAGATTCCAGAGGGCAGGGGCAAAGGGAGAAAGAAGACACCCTTATCCTTCTGCTCAGCACCTTGGAAAGGCACTGCCATGAGCACCGTGGGAATGGGCTACTTTAACCCGCCAGGGTTCAGGAGTGGATGCTGGGGTTATTTTGTTGTTGTTTATTTCCTTGTTTTCCCCAAGACAGAGTGTTGCTCTGTCACCCAGGCTGGAGTGCAGTGGTGCAATCTCGGCTCACTGCAACCTCTGCCTCTTGGGTTCAAGTGATTCTCCTGCCTCAGCCTCCCGAGTAGCTGGGACTACAGGCGTGCACCACCATGCCTGGCTAATTATTTGTAATTTTAGTAGAGACGGGGCTTCACCATGTTGGCCAGGCTGGTCTCGAACTCCTGACCTCAAGTGATCTGCCCACCTTGGCCTTCCAAAGTGCTGTGATTACAGGTGTGAGCCACTACACCCGGCCAAGATTAGATACTGGAGGTTTGCTTTGTGGTGACCCGGCTGGACCCAGTGCTCCTGAGCTCCCTCAGGGCAAAGACCAGGTGCAGATTCCCGGCGCCCTCAGTAGGCCTGGATGTGCAGGAGGCTCCAGACAGAAGCAGGGGCCTTGTGAGGGCGGGCAGGGTCTTGGATCCTGTCTGCAGGGGCATTGGCCCTGAACAGACCACCACTGTCAAGGGTGTGGAATCTCTGCAGCACGGGGGCAGGGCCTGTAAACCTGCAGGCTGGACCTGGGACACCCAACTGCCTATTGTCATTGACAGGCCGGCCCCTTTGTGGCACCCCTACCCTCGGATGGCAGTGCAGCTGTGTTCCTGCCCTGTCCCGGTGAGGTCAGTTATGAGGGGAAGATGTGTTTCTCCCCAAAAGTGTCCTGTGGGTTACGTACTGAATTGGTCCTCCCTGAAAGAGATGCTGAAGCTCTAATTCCCAGTGTCTATGGCTGTGATCTGCTTTGGAAATAGGGTCTTTGTAGGTGTGACTAAGATGTGGGGCTGGGCGCAGTGGCTCACTCCTGTAATCCCAGCACTTTAGGAGGCTGAGGTGAGAGGATCACCTGAGGTCAGGAGATCGAGACCAGCCTGGCCAACATGATGAAACCCCATCTCTACTAAAAATACAAAAAAATTAGCCAGGCACAGTGGCGCATGCCTGTAATCCCAGCTACTTGGGAGGCTGAGGCAAGAGAATCCCTTGAACCCAGGAGGTGGAGGTTGCAGTGAACTAAGATCATGTCATTGCACTCTAGCCTGGGCAACAAGAGGGAAACTCCATCTCAAAAAAAAAAAAAAAAAAAAGATGTGGGTTAAGATGAAGTTATACTAGAGTAGGATGGACCATAAGCCAGTATGACTGTTATTCTTATAGGAAGGGGACCATAGACAGTGACAGGAAGACAGATGAAACACAGGGAGAAGGCCTTGTGGGAACAGAGGCAGAGAGTGGCTGGATGTGGCTGAGAGCCAAGGAACACTGAGGCTGGCCGGCCACCGCCAGGCAGACTGGCTCCCACCCCACTGTGCTGCCTCCTGGCTGGGCAACCTTGGGCAAGTCTCAGGGCCTCAATTTTCCCATCCATGGAATGGGCATGTTGATCACCTTACACCAGAGCGCTGCTGAGAGCTGCAGATGAGCGCTCACACTCAAAGTGAGGTTAGGGGAGCTCAGGATGTCCCCAGGCCTCCTGCCGACCTGTGATAGGACCCGAGGGCTCTTGCCTCCTGGCCCTCACCCCTTTCCTCTCTCTGCCTAGAACATTATTCCCCTCTTTCCTGGCTCCCTCCACCCATTCCCTCCATCTGGGCTCAGATTTCCCTTTCTGGGACCCATGCACTGACGCCCCAAGGCTGGGCTCCAGGGCCTTTTCTCTGAGCGCTCACTGCCCTGCACATCCCTCGTGGCAGCTCTCGTAGGCTTGGCTGTGTTTGGCCGGTCACTTGCCCACTTCCTGGGGGATGAGGATCAGGTTAGCCAGGTGTCAGGGCGGGGGGCTTTGGGAAGGCCTGAGGCTGAAGTGAGAGAGGGTCTCTGATCCATCAGCATCACAGTGAGGGCTTCTCAAACAGTCCCTGCCCAGGCCCCAGATGGCAGCCAGCACAGGACCTGGGGACTGAGGGAGCACCAGGCGGCCACCCCAGGGTGAAGGAACTGGCCAGTCTGGTAACATCCAGGAGCAGGCCAGCTGTGCCCAGAGCCCCCGATCCCTGGCATCATGGCACTGTCCAGGGCCAAAGAATTACCCCACCCTTCCACCCGTTCCATGTTAATAAGGCCAATGCTTCCGGAGCTATTGAATTGCACAAGGAAAAAGCCACACGGGAGAGGGCCATTTACATGTCATCTGTATTGTCACATGAAATGCACATCCATAACAGGTGACTTGGAAACGACCTATTAGGTCACACGGAGTCCGGCCCCTGGGGGCCAAAGCCTCATCGATGCCCACGGGCGGTGGCCAGCGCTTCCCTCGGGCTGTGGTGTGTGCACCCGGCCTCCCCAGCGGAGAGTCAGCTCACACCCCAGGCCCTTTAGCTCTCTGACAGCAGCTCCCAAAATTGCAATTGAGGAACCAGTGGTTCCTTGGGTGTTAATAGCTGTTCCCCAAGAAAAGGGTTCTGTGGTCAAATAAGTTTAGAAAACATGGGTTAAAGAAGGTTTAGCAAGAAGCTTTTCTACAGGACTCGTCAGAGCCTTGACGGCAATAACGGCCTTTGTGAATGTCCAACTTGGGACGGAGGGTGCAGCACTTCCCAAAGTTATTGAACCACAAAACCCTTTTCCCCCAAAAGCATCTCGCAGGCTGGTGTCCCGCAGGGCACCCGCTGGAAAGTGCTGCCCTAAGCTGTCGATGACTGTTCATGGCAATGGCACCTGCATCAGGCAGTAGGTTGGGGGCACTCTGGCAGGCGTCGTGCTGATGAGCACAGCCAAGAACTCAACAGTCATGACGATGAAAAGATGAGACTCGGCCCCTCCTACCATCCTGGTTTTTGCTGTACCCAGAGCAGAAGCTAAATAGGGCTGTCCCCACGGGTGGGTCCGGGCCGCCTAGAGAGGAGACTTGGAGTCCAAGCAAAGGGGCAAGAGGCCTGGCACTGCCAAACACGCTTGTCACTGGAAGGGGCGGCCTGGGTTCACTGGCTTCCAACCAGGAGGGGAAGACGGGGTGGGGGTGGCCGCTCCAACTCCTGGTGGCTCTGTTCAACCCGCGCCTGCCACCTTGCCATCCCCTGCCCCTTCTCTAGGGCCAGCCCTGCCCCCAGAGCCTTGCGTGGGCCAGCGGGCGCTTCACCAGGCGGAGATGAGCATCTGGCAGGTGCTGGAGGGCATCCAGACCAGCTCCACCAGGCGGAACTGGAGGTAGCCGATGACGAAGCCAGAGAGGACGTCCGTGACGTGGTGGCGGCCAATCATCACGCGGGACAGGCCCACGCAGAGGGCCCAGAGCACCAGCAGCACACGCAGGGGCACCGCCAGCACCAGGTGGCTGAGGAAGAACTTGGACACCATGGCGGCGCGGCTGGCGTGCCCGGCTGGGAAGGCGTAGACGTCCATGGTGAGGTAGTCCAGGAGGCTGGGGCTCGTCTCGTACGGGCCACGCCGCTTGATGAGCTTCTGCACGCCAGCCACTGTCATGATGTCCAGGAGCAGGGCTGTTGGGGGGAGAGAGGCCCCCGGGCCATCAGGGCCACCAGCCAGGCCCAGGCCCCAGCCCCCCACATTCCCCCCACCTCATCTCCCCTCCCTGCCCCTCATTCCGGTCACTCAGCCACGCTGACCCCCAGGCACGGTCCTGCCTCAGGCCATTGCCCTTGCTGTCTCCTCTGCCTGGCACGCCCTGCCTTCCCGTAGCCACTCCCTTTAGCAGAGAAGCCTTCTCTGACCATGCTGTTTATAAAAGCTCCTGCCACGCTCTCTCCCCTCACCTTGTTTTTCTCATGCCCTGATGTAATATGCATTTTATTTCTTTGGTTTTTTTCTTTTTTCTTTTCCTTTTTTTTTTTTTTTTTACACAGAGTCTCACTTCATCACCCAGGCTGGAGTGCAGAGGCGTGATCTTGGCTCACTGGAACCTCCGCCTCCCGGATTCAAGTGATTCTCCTGCCTCGGCCTCCTGAGTAGCTGGGATTACAGGCACCCGCCACCACATCCAGCTAATTTTTGCACTTTCAGTAGAGATGGGGTTTTGCCATGTTGGACAGACTAGTCTCAAACCCCGGACCTCAGGTGATCCACCCTCCTCGGCCTCCCAATGTGCTGGGATTACAGGTATGAGCCAATGCGCCTGGCCTCTTTTTCTTTTTTTTTGATACAGGGTCTTGCTCTATTGCCCAGGCTGGACTACAGTGACCCGATCTTGGCTCACTGCAACCTCCACCTCCTGGGTTCAAGCAATTCTCATACTGCAGCCTCCCGAGTAGCTGGGATTACAGGCGCACACTACCATGCTTGGCTAAGTTTTTGTATTTTTGGTAGAGATGGGGTTTCTCCATGTTGGCCAGGCTGGTCTCCAACTCCTGGCCTCAGGCAACCCGCCCGCCTCAGCCTCCCAAAATGTTCACCCATTACAGGCGTGACCCACTGTGCCCAGCCCCATTCCCATTTTTCAAAAGTTGAAGCAGAATTTACATCATGTACAGCGAACCATTTTAGAGTACACGGTTCAGTGGCATTTAACACATCCCAGTGTCGGCAGCCACCTCCTCTCTCTAATTTCAAGACATTTCATCATCCCAAAAGAACGCCCTGTACCCACAAAGCAGCCACTCCCCATCCCCTTCTCTCCAGCCCCTGGAAACCACCAATCTGCTTTCCGTCTCGGTGGATTAGCCTCCTCTAGACACTTCATGTAAATGGAATTAGACAGTATGTGACCTTTTGTGTCTGCCTTCCTTTCCTTAGTGTAACGTTTCCAGCGTCCACCCATGTGGCAGCACTTCATTCCTTTTCATGGCCAAATAATATTCCATTTATGGATGGACCAGTATTTGTTCCTCTCCTCTTTCTTTTTTCCTTCTTTCGTTCTTTCTTTCTTTCCTTCCTTCTTTCTCCTTCCTTCCTTCCTTCTTTCTTCCTCCCTCCCTCCCTCCTTTCTTTCTCTCTCTCTCTTTCTTTTTCTTTTCTTTTCTTTCTTTCTTTCTTTCTTTCTTTTCTCTTTCTTTCTTTTTCTTTCTTTCCTTCCTTCCTTTCCTTTCCTTTCCTTTCTTTTCCTTTCTTTTCTTTTCTTTTCCCTTCCTTCCTTCCTTCCTTCCTTCCTTTCCTTCCTTCCTTCTCTCTCTCTCTCTCTCTCTCTCTTTCTTTTCTTTCTTTTCTTTTCCCTCCCCTCCCCTCCCCTCCCCTCCCTTCCCTTCCCTTCCCTCTTTCTTTCTTTCTTTCTTTCTTTCTTTCTTTCTCTTTCTTTCTTTCTTTCTTTCTTTCTTTCTTTCTTTCTTTCTTTCTTTCTTTCTTTCTTTCTTTCTTTTCTTTTCTTTTCTTTTCTTTTCTTTTCTTTTCTTTTGCTGGAGTCTCGTTCTGTTGCCCAGGCTAGAGTGCAGTGGCGTGAACTCAGCTCACTGCAACCTCTACCTCCCGGTTCACGCGATTTTCGTGCATCAGCCTCCTGAGCAGCTGGGATTACAGGTGGGTGCTGCCTTGCCTGGCTAATTTTTGTGTTTTTTGTAGAGACGGGGTTTTGCCATGTTGGCCAGGCTGGTCTCGAACTCATGACCTCAGGTGATCCGCCTGCCTTGGCCTCCCAAAGTGCTGGGATTACAGGCATGAGCCACTGTGCCCAGCCTCTTTTTTTTTTAAAGATGGATGTGTCTGGCTGGGCACGGTGGCTCACACTTGTAATGCCAGCACTTTGGGAGGCTGAGGTGAACATATCACTCGAGCTCAGGAGTCTGAGACTAGGCTGGGCAACATGGCAAAACCCTGTCTGTACAAAAAATACAAAAATTAGACATGTGTGATGGCACACGCCTGTAGTTCCAGCTACTCAGGAGGCTGAGGTGGGAGGATTGCTTAAGCCCAGGAGTTTGAGACCAGCACGGGCAACATGGCAAAATCCCATCTCTACCAAAAAAAAAAATACAAAAATTAGCTTGGTGTGGTGGTGCACGCCTCTCATCCCAGCTACCTGGGAGGCTAAGGTGACCGAGTGAGACCCTGTCTTAGAAAAAAGAGAGAGACACTTTGGGAGGCCAAGTCGGGCGGATCACGAGGTCAGGAGATTGAGACCATCCTGGCTAACACGGTGAAACCCCGTCTCTACTAAAAAATACAAAAAACTAGCCGGGCGAGGTGGCAGGCGCCTGCAGTCCCAGCTACACGGGAGGCTGAGGCAGGAGAATGGCGTGAACCTGGAAGGCGGAGGTTGTAGTGAGCCGAGATCGCGCCACTGCACTCCAGCCTGGGCGACAGAGCGAGACTCCGTCTCAAACGGGAGGCTGAGGCAGGAGAATGGCGTGAACCTGGGAAAGGCGGAGGTTGTAGTGAGCCGAGACTCGCCACTCTGCATCCAGCCTGGGTGACAGAGCGAGACTCGCCTCAAAAAAAAAAAGAAAGAGAGAGCGAGCGAGCCTCTTTCTGTTGCCCAGGCTGGAGTGTAGTGGTGCAATCATAACTCACTGTAACTTTCAATTCCTGGCCTCAAGAGCTCCTCCCTCCTCAGCCTCCTAAGTCACCAGGACTACAACTGTGCCACCATGCCCAGCTAATTTAAAATTTTTTTTTTTTTTTTTTTACAGATGGGCATCCCATTTTGCTGCCCAAGATGGTCTCAAATTCCTGGCTTCAAGCTATCTTCCTTTCCTACCTCAGCCTCCCAAAAAGCTGGATTCCAGGTGTGAGCCACTGTGCCCGGACACAATTTGTTTATCCATTCATCTGTTGATGGCTATCGCAGTTGTGTTGCGCCTTTGGCTGCTGTGACTCACGCCGCTATGCAGGTGTGTGCAAGTGTTCGCCGAGTGCCTGTTTTCAGTTCTTTCCCGTAGATCCCTAGGAGTGGAGTCGCCATTGGCAATGACAGTAACTTCTGTGTGACTCTTGAGGAACTCCCACTGTTTTCTCAGCAATCGCACTCAAAGCATCCCTACATTACAGAGGACAACACATGAACCTTTGGAGCTTAGGGCACTATACCTGATGCTCTTAAGCTTCTGGAATGTCCCACTCTTTCCCAACCCACCACCTCAGGGACCTGCCCCTGCCTTCCAGACAGCTCAGGCCCTGAAGGGTTCAGTCTCAGCATCTGGCCTGTTTCATGGTTTTCCTCCTGCGCAGTCACTGAGGCATCTGCTGGGAGGTGAGGGTTCTTGGCCTGTGGCATGAAGTCACTCCATAGAGGCAGGCCCATGCCTGTTTGTTCAGAGGTTTTCTTTTCCCCTTCGCTAGAAACAGAGCCACGGTCTCCAAACTTAGTTGAGTTACTGGCCTGAGGCTCATAACCAGCGAGAGGTGGGCTCTTTTCCTTTCCTTTTCTTTTTTCTTTATTTTGAGGCAGAGTCTCACTCTATTCCAAAGGCTGGAGTGCTGCAGCATGATCTCGGCTCACTGCAACCTCCACCTCCTGGGTTCAAGCGATTCTCCTGCCTCAGCCTCCCAAGTAGCTGGGGACAACAGGTACCTGCCACCACGGCTGGCTAATTTTTGTATTTTTAATAGAGATGGGGTTTCGTTGTGTTGGCCAGGCTGGTCTCGAACTCCTGACCTCAAGGGATCTGCCCACCTCTGCCTCCCAAAAAGTGCTGGGATTACAGGCGTGAGCCACTGCGCCTGGCCTTTCTTTCCCTATTTTGGAAACACAGGGGAGACCTGGATCTCCATCATGCCTCTGCCACCTCACCCTGCTGCGCTGCCTTGGGAGGCTGCTCTGCCTTTCTGTGCCATGAGAGGAAGGCACCATGCCAGAACTCCAGTTTCACCCAGCTGATCTGAGTGGCACCCATACAACCAATGGGGCCTCCTGGGTCAACCTCCCACCATTAGGGAAAGGCCCTTGGTGGCCGGGTGCAGTGGCTCAAGCCTGTAATCCCAGCACTTTGGGAGGCCGAGACAGGAGGTGGATCACGAGGTCAGGAGATCGAGACCATCCTGGCTAACACGGTGAAACCCCGTCTCTACTAAAAAAATACAAAAACTAGCCGGGCGAGGTGGCGGGCGCCTGTAGTCCTGCAGCTACTTGGGAGGCTGAGGCAGAAGAACATGCGGAACCCGGGAGGCGGAGTTTGCAGTGAGCTGAGATCTCGCCACTGCACTCCAGCCTGGGTGACAAGAGCGAGACTCTGTCTCAAAAAAAAAAAAAAAAGAAAGGTCCTTGGAGGTCACACCTCTGACCCTGGGGGTGGTGGCATCGGCAGGCCAGAGAGCACTCCCAGGGCAGATGCAGAGTCAGCAGGGAGCCTGTGCCCCTGCGCCCTGTGCTTCCCCACCTCAGGTGACCCTGGGGACCCCAGTGAGGTCACAGCCCTGCAAGCCCTGCTCTGGGACAGTGAAGACAACACTCCGTAGTGTAAAGGCAGGCAGAGTCATTATGGCGCCAGAGACCCGGCTGTGAGAGTTCCAGCCCTCGAGCCCTCCCAGCTACGTGTGACCTCAGGGAAGCCACCTAATTTTCCTCACCTGTGAGACGCCCAAGGCTCATGGACACCCACTCCAGAGGGGCCCGGGC